GTTTTAGGGTTTAGGGCTTTAGAGCTTTAGGGATGTAGGGTTGTAGGGGTTTAGGGTTTTAGGGCTTTAGGGTTTTAGGGCTTTAGGGTTTTAGGGTTTATGGTAACTTAGAAAGGTTTAGGTTTTACTAAAACCTAAACCTTTCTAAGTTACCGTAAACCCGAAACCCCAAAACCCTAAAACCCTAAATTAGGGCAGCATGCTCTCGCTGAAAGCCATGGCTTGCTTGGCCTTGGGCGCCAGCCCGGCGCTTGCGATCCGAGCTGCCGCACCCCCTTCCCTAACCCGTGAGGAGGACAGAGAAACCCAAAACCCTAAACCCTAAACCCCAAACCCTAAACCTTAAACCCTAAACCCTAAACCCTAAACCCCAAACCCTAAACCCTAAACCCTAGACTCTGCACCCCAAACCCTAAACCCTAGAGTACACAGTTCAACGTCGAGCAATGAGAGAACAGTGAGGGAGGAGTTTTTAGAAACCTGAGTGCTTGGCCCTGAGGGCTGTGGCTTGATCGGAGAGAAAGTCCCACAGCACTTTAAAAAAAAGACCCTAGAGTAGGTTACCTTGAGCATCTATATGGGGGTACTAGAACGGTTTAGGGTCGAGGGTTTAGGGTTTAGGGTTTTAATGCCCTTTCCGACAATAAAAGGCTGACCTTTAGTTACCCTGAGTAAGTATTCAGACTTTCTTGTTGAAAAAGATGCTACAAGCTCCAAGCCAGCCCACAACTTTAATCAAGAGCGCGCTCTTAGCAAGCAGGACTGCTGGGAATCTGTGGCTGCACCGGACAACTTGGGCACCCTGTCTGCCATCATGACGAAAAGCTTGGGGCGGCAGTGTCGAAGTGAGGTGCAAGGACTCTTGGTGGACCTTTACACGGAATGCACGAAGATCGAAGGGTCTTCCCAAGAAGGATGCCTCAAAGAACTCTTTTGGTGGTTCTTTGGGTATACTGCGACCGGATATCGGGACGGCCTGGCCTCGAAACTAGCAGCCGCACCCCATGAAGCGATGCTTTGGGCCGGGTTTTACGAAGGCGAGCCCCGTGGTTTGACCCAGAAGGCCTTGCAGAGGTTTTCGAACATGGTGGACACGAGCATCGTCCACCCCAGCAGCATTCTGGGCAAAGTGGTTCAGAAGAACAATGACCTCCTTGGCTGCAGAGGCGATATAGGGGCTTTGAGGCCGTGCTGTTGCGTGCGAGGAGGCACGAGACTGATAGATAAAGGCCCGATTGCGGGCTTTTGGAGCGGCGCAAGCCGTTTCTTCGTGCATGGCATGGCTTCGAAAAATCAGTCCTCGGTGGTGGCCGTCCTGAACAAGGGCCTGGATCTAGACACAGAGTGGTCGCTCCAAAAGTCCGTCTTTTGGAACTACGAGCTGCTGCAACTGGAGTTCCTTAGCGTTCTTCTGGTTGGCTCTTTAGACTTTAACTTTTTTTTGTGTTTCTATATGAACTATAATATCTAGGCTAAAAGTTTAACTTTTAGGAGGGGTTCAGAAGTACGCCAAGGTTCGAAATAGGACAGAACTCCGACTTTCGTCCGCAACTTCTTCTGGTCGACCTGCGGGGCACCTGCGAGGACATGGGGGTTTCCGACAATAGGGGACCCTAAGATTGTACCCTAAATAGTAGGATCCTTATTATTATTATTATTATTATAATGACCCTCAAGTAAGGACATGACAAGGTTGGTGATGAGGAGACTAACTGGTGACCTCGAGGCAGTTCCTGGGCTTTGGAGTACCATACTTTAATACTTTTTCTGGGGACCTGTTCCTTAAAGGAACCATTATGAAATAAAAGTCTATACTTTTTTCTCCCTGGTTACTTCAACGCCCAGGTTAAGACCTGGTTGCTCAGGAAGCCGATAATTTGCCTTGATTGCCTCGAGGGCCACTGTGACCTGGACGAGGCCCTGGCAAAGAGAGTCCGATCGTGTTTGGGCAAAGACCCGCCCAGTTGCCCTAGGTTCGAGTTCTGCGAAGTCTGACCCACCGGCGGCTTCATTGCAATTCCCCCCTTCGCCGTAGAATCCCAGCAACAGCAAGACGGTACCTCTCCGGAAGGTTGAAGTAGTATGGGTTTAAAGCCGCGTGGAAAGCGCTCCGCAAGCTCGGTCAAATAAATTTGAGATTCTCGGCACTCCGCTGCTCCGAAAGACTTCTTACGGGCAGGGTCCACCTAGTCCAAACTTTTGTCCTCCCGCTTCAGGGCACAGTCAATAAATGGTTTTGAGTAGCTGGCACGCAATGGTTCCAATCCCAACCGCCCTACATTGCTTTGGCACAAAGTCTTAGGGCTTGAAGCACCCTAAACCCTAAACCCTAAACCCTAAACCGTTTCAGGTCATGCCCTCGCCTGTAGACTTCTGAACACTCAGTAAAAGTATCCCCTTCAACGCCCATGCAGGAAACTGCGATCCTCGACCCCGAAGCCGCAGTATATAAATGGTTCAGGCCCTGAAAAGGATCTGAGGCTTTGGGGTGAGGGCAAAACTGGGGGGTCAGAATAATTGGAAATGGTATTCTCTTCAGGTCTTTAAAAAACTGCTCAAGATACAAGATACTCCCAAACCCTGTTGAACAAATTGCGTGTACATATATATATATATATATGTCCCTGATGTTGGTCCGTCTCTCATTGGAGGAGCTGCCCCGAAGTAGTTCAGATGTACGCTTTCATCGCTCAGGGTTGAGAGTATAAGAGCTGCAGCGTTCAGGGCTGTAGGGCGCTAGGGCTTCGGGTTTAGGGTTTAGGGCTTCAGGGCTTAGGGTTTAGGCTTTACGGCTTTAGGGCCTAGGGTTTAGGGTTCAGCGTTTATGGAGGTAACCCTAAACCCAACATCCAAAACCCAAAGCCCAGCTTTAATTGCAACTTGCTGCGGCCTAAACCCTAAACTCTTAAACCTTAAACTCCTAAACCCGAAACCCTAAACCCTAAACCCTAAACCCTAAACCCTTAAACCCTTAACCCTAAACCCTAAAACCCAAAGTCCTAAAACCAAAGCATCTTCCCCGCTCCATCTCGGACACTGCGCCACGGCATCCGGAGATTTCAGGCGTAATGTGGGGGCCTTCATAATTACCTATAGGGTTTAGGGTTTAGGGTTTTGGGTTTAGGATTTAGGGTTTAGGGTTTTGGGTTTTGGGGGTTCCTTCTTGAGATCATAGTATAATATACCCAAAGTTCTACTCTAATTATTTTGGCCCCTAATTTAATATAGTGGTCGTAGTAGACGAAATGGGGTGTTAGGGTGCCTCATAGTAGAAATATGAGAAGGAACCCTGAGGTGTAATGTTGGTAATTGGTATTTTTTTTTGCTTCTAAATAAGACACCAGAAGACCCTAAAGACCGTAACATCAAGGCCTAGAATAGGGTTTTGGGGGTTTCTTTTGGTATAGTAGACCCTACAACCCTATTCTAATTATTAAGGCCCCTACAGTAAACTATTCTAGAACCCTTATAACAGCCCTTATAGTAAC